TCCAGACTGCAGAGGCCCAGAGTGGAGCCAAGGTCACCTGGGATCACTGAGGTCCTGGACTCCAGCTCCACCTTTCATTGTTTAAGGTCCCTATTAGGACAAATGGCAAAATTTAAGGAACGCTGCTGAGCGGTGGCCAGGGATGGAGCCCAGTGAGAGAGCGCCCTGGGTTCAACCCTCAGTATCCCTGAAATATTTTGGGATAAAGGAGCATGACATTCAAAACGCACTCCCAAAGGGTTTAGAGAAATAACTCGACATACACACACACACACCAGCACCAGCCAAATGTTAACCGGAGCTTCCGGGTGAAGAGTGTGGGGAGTCTTTATATTCTTCTTGCAACTTTGCTTAAGTGTGAAATTATTTTGAAATAAAGTTTTTAAAGAAAAAATCAGAAAAAAGGGATCAAGAGTACACACAAATGTGGGAGACCCGGCAGAATCCGAGTTTGTGTTTGCCCTCCTGGTCCCCGAGTGGCAGTGGCAGTGACAGTGTGGGGCCAGCAGAGTGGCTCGCTTCCCCCTCCAGGCCTCAGCTCCTTGACTTGCAAGTCGGGGATGAAGAGGTCTGTCCCTTCCTTGTGGTCACGGCTTCCCAAATGCGTTCAGAAGTTCCAAGGACAATGGCAGAAAAACCAGAAATAAAAACGGGTGACAGGAGCTTGCCTTTTCATGGTTTAGCAAAACAGACTCAGGGCTGAGGTGGAGCAGGCCTGGCTGAACTCTCCCCTCGTGAGGAGCCAGGCCCCTGGCATCTCGGTTGGGCCTCCTCCTGTCCAAAGGGGTGGCCAGCATGGACCTGCCCTGCGGCCACAGCTCTTCTGGGTGAGCCTCCTGTCAGAACAGGGCTGGAGTTGGCCTTGCCTCCCTCCCTGCCGCCATGTCTGTCTTCCTGCCGGGTGACAGCTGAAGTCTCTGGCCTGGCTTCTTGGATCTGCCTGTGGGATTCTCCTTGACTTGAATCTGATAGTGCCTGGTCCCCATGGAAGGGGTGAACTTCTGAGTTGGGTAGTGACATGGCCAGCCAGGGTATTCTGCCGACAGCACAGGTCACACAAGGACTGAGGGCTGGTGGATCAGGAAGGGGCAGTTGTGTGTCCCCCTCTCTCCCCAGAGACATGGGAACCTGGAAAGCCCTGAGAAACTACAGATTCCAGGGTGGTTACCCTCCGCTCCAAACCCCAGCCGCAGCACGCCATGCAGACTCTGGCGGCAGCTTTCCCTAGTCCCCTCTCGCAGCACTCCCGTGTGCCCAAGGAGAGCTGGCAGGCACCCACCACCTTCATTAGGAACCAGGACAAATCGATAGAGCTGAGTCGCCTCTGTACCTGAGCTGCTGGGACAGGAGGAATCTTCTGGTCCCTGAGGCCAGCCGCAGCACTCTTTCTCCTGGGAAAGAGCGAGCTTCTGATAACCTGCTCATGCTGCTGGGCAGTGATCAACCTCTAGGAAAACTGCAGAGCCAGTCTCCAGAGCGCCAGGACTCCCGGGTGGGAAGGCAGTGGTGGAGTAGTGTGGGTAGACCACTCCTGGACCTTCCCTGGGCTCAGGCAGCCGGTCCTCTTCTGCTCATCATGGGATGTAAATATCCAGTCATGCACATAAGTAAGGTTTAAAACCCCTTTAAATGCATCTACAAGGGCCCATATCTACCTACTTCTAATTACAGCTTCCCATTAACAACAGCAGCAGTTAATGTACTGTTTACCACATACAGGTGGTCTCGGCACTTATCCCCAAAATAAGGCAGCTTTTCATTATGCCTGTTTTATAGAAGAGGAAATGGAAACATGGCAGGGATAAATAGCATGCCCAATGTCACAGCGAGGCCTGAGATTTGAACCCAGGCACTCTGAACCCAGGGTGCTGGCTCTTAACCTTGGCCCTAATGCTGCCTCCTCAAATAGGTGCTCAGCACATTGATGAGAGCCTGAATTATGTGGCTACACAGGTAAGAGAAAGAGAGACACTTGGAGGGAGCAATGCAGGTACCCCTTTCCACCTCGAGATCCACCCTGGCCCCTCTGCCTGGCAGGCCCATGCCCTTGGCGTTGCCTGGCTGGGCTGGTGCGGAACATGTGTCCACGCAGAACGAGTGAGACAGAAGAGCTGACCCCTGCTGTTCCTCTGCTTATGGAAAGGGGCCCAGAGATAAGTTCAGTCATTTGACCTCCACAGCTTTCCCACAGGGCCTTCCCGTGGCTGGCTGTCCCTCCTGGGTCTGGGCTTCCCAAGCTGAGGTCCAGGTCAGTTTGGGTTTGGGGATGGGAAGAGGGGAGTCCTGAGTGTGGCTTCCAACACAGGCCAAGGTGTTTCCCAGCCTCTCCCCCCACTCCTCCACTTCCCAGGGTCAGGCCCTGTTACTCCAAGAGCTTTGCAAGGGTATCCCTGAGAGACACTTCCTGCTGTTTCTGCTCAAACAGCATTTGCTGCAAAATATGTCAAAGCATTTGGGCTTCAGTTTTCAGTCCAGAATATGCCAATGTTTTCATTTGGAAACGGAAGTGTTTCTATTGATGTGGTAAGAAGATAAAATAAGATGTTCTTCACCAAATTACACTATATGAAAGTCAAGTTCTTGACTTGGGGATAGGGATTCATTTTGGGACCATGGGGGTCTAGCACACAGCCTGGCAGAAGAACAACAGAGTCAATGTTTGTTGAGTGGCCAAATGAATGAACATGTAAAGAGCTTAAAACCAGGAGTATAGGGTTTACGGTCCATGTTCAGTAGATTTCGAACACTGGGCCCCGGAGGCTCACCTGATGGTATTCTCAGTCCCTACTTCCCTGAAGTCACTGACCTGCCTCATCTAAGCCTGCTACCTCTAGCTGGACAACTGACAGCCCCCAGCTGGCTTCCTGCTGGCACTACCCTTCAGCCCACTCTTCCCACAGCTGCCACAGTCATCTTTACAAACTACCCTGCCTAAAACCTTCCAATGGCTGTTCACTGCTCTTGGCTGTGGCGTCCCAGGTCTCGGAGGATGTGGTGTGGTCCCTGCTCCTCATCCCTGACCTCTCCGGGGCTGCTCTCCAGCTGTGCTGTCTTTCAGTTGCTGGATAAACCAACTCTTTCCCAACTCTTCCCGTCTCAGTGTCCTCGTATTTGCAGTTCCCTCTGTCTAGATTGCTCTTTCTGGATCTTTGAGTCTGGCTCCTTCTATTGATTTAGGGCTCGGCTTAAATGTATCATCTCTTCAGAGAGGTCTTCTCTGACCCCCTAGCTAAAGCAGCCTGGCCCTAGTCTTAGGCCTCACCAGTCTACACAGGGTATCTACCAGATGCCAGGCTCTGGTGCAAGTGCTAAAGACACAGCAGTGAACACAACAGGGAAGCTCACAACCTTCTTGCATGTCCTCAGAGCTCGGTAAAAAATCTCATTATCTTGGCTGGATATTTGCTAGTCTTCCTCACCAAATGCCAGGCCTGCCAGGGCTGAGTCTGTCTTGCTCACTGCATTCACTCCCCAGGCACAGTACTGAACTAGTAAGCATTTGTTCAATAAAAAAACGGATGGAAGGCAGGCAGGCAGGCTGGGGAGATGCAGAGCAGCTGGCACACACCCCATCTGGCACTTGGCTCTTGCTAGGATCTCAATTAGCTCAACTAAAGTTTTCCTCAACGAGACCTCACTCTGGGCCCCGTAGGTAAGCCCACTGCTCCTGGCACAGCTGCAGCAGGTCCTGCCCCACCCTCTACAACAATGTTTGCTTTCTCCCTGTTCTCAATATGATGGTACTTGGACCTGAACCTTTGGGAGGTGGGTGAGTCATGAGGGAAGTCCTGGGAGCAGGTTTAGTGCTGTTAATAAGAACTGTGAGGAATAAGTAAGTTAAGTTACCCAGCCCATGGTAGTCTGCTGGGCATCTGGAAGTGATAAGAAACCCTGACTATGGTCCTGTTGGCAGACAGGCAGCCCCGGAGAGAAGACTGCCTGCTTGGGGTGAGGGGCACCAGTGTCTGCTTCTAAAAGAAGGCCCTGCCCAACATCTCAGCACCCCCACTCACTGCCACTCGGCCCCGTGCCCAGGAGAACTCCAGCATCATTTAGCCCAGGACTCAGTCAATGAGTTCCTGTCTGCCCCATGAGGCAGCCCCCACCCACGGACCCTGACAGCCTTCCCAGTACACATGTGTGTTCTCTCTTCTCTCCTCCCTCCCCTACTCCAGCTGCCTCGTTGGGTGATCTTGGTCCGTCCTAGTCCTCCCTGTACCTTCATTTCTCTACCTCTAACACGCAACATGGGCTGGGCTCAAAGCTCCCTGGCTGAGTCCAGAGGCAGGACTTTTAACCCCTCAGTGCAACAATCCTGTGGTTCCTTCAGAGTCCCTTGAGGACCTGCGAACACTGCAGACAAAGCCAGCTCCAGCACCAACCCCCAGCCTGCCTGCTCTGGGAAGGCAGCCTGCAAAACTGGCAGCCCCTGCAGATTTCAGCTGCAGAGCTGACAAGCCGGGACACCCTGAAACCTGACTCCAAAACAGCAGCAAACCCAAGGCCAAAAGGAAGTACAGAGGCCTTTGCTGAAGGTTCCTTCTCACAGCCTTGGCCTGGGGGACCCTGCACTTAATCCCCACCCAGTCCCTCAAGGGGCCACAGTGGGAAGGTGGCCAGTGCCTTGGTCTCTACCCCTAGTCTATCCTCCCAGGACTAGTGAGAATCCCCCAAATGCCAAGGTCATCATCAAGACAGGCAGAGGCTGGGGGGAGGAGCCATAGCTCTGCTTCAGATGGACTTGGGTCTAAAGGCTGTTTCCACAGCATTCAAGCTCTGGGGGTAACTTCCATAGCTACCCAAAAGGTAACTTAGGGTCCCCTCCCTCTTTAGCAGCTCTCCTTTTCCCTGGGGGAAGCTTTCTGGCCCCAATTGAGGGCCCAAGAGACGTCCAGCCATTCCTAACATCCAGCTAGACCTGAAGGAAGTGGACAGAGGAGCCAGAAGCCTGGGAATGCCTCTTCCCTGTCCCCACCCACCCTCACCCCGAGGGCACTTACAGGCCTCGGAGGGGCTCCTCCTGGGGTCCCATCCGGGTCCAGACAGCGCACCCCACCCGGAGCGAGGGCATGATCCGGGCGGCTGGTCGCGGCCGAGGGTTGCGGGCCATGGAGGGGAGAGGGGAAGAGTAGTCCACCCTACTCCAAGTATCCATCGAAGACGTCGAGCTCCGAGTCGGTGTCGTAGAGGCCGGAGCCGGGGTCGGAGAGCACGCCGAGGTCCACGAGCGCTTGGTCCAAGTCCTCGGGCAGGAAGACGAGGCCCACGTTGAGGACGATGTACTCCATGAGGAAGGCGTAGTAGAGGATCAGCACATTGACGAAGAAGAGGCCCACGTAGAACATAGAGGGCAGCAGCGGCGGCTGCACGTACGACACCAGGGGCCCCAGAGAGTCCAGGTGGGCTGCGACCCGCGCGCCGGGCATGCAGCGGGCGGCGGGGGCGGCGGCGGCCGGGCGGGCCCAGCGACCTCAGCCGCTGCGGCGCCCGGGCGGCCGGCGAGGGGGCAGCTCAGCCATCCAGGGGCGCCCCGGGGCTCGACCGAGGCGGCGCTGGACCCCGGGTGGCCTCCAGGAACGGGCGGCGGCCGGAGCGGACGCGCCTGGATCCCGGAAACGTGCCGGGCGGGGTCACCGCACCCTCCAGAAGTGACCACCCGGCTCTCTGGACCCGAGGCAGGGCCCCCGAAGTGGCCAGCGACCGCCCGGTTCCTGCGGTGCGCGGCGTTCGTGCTCACAGGCCCTCGGAGCGCCAGCGCGACCCCCAGCGCGGCTCAGCGTCGAGGGCCCGTCCCGGCTGCCGACTCTCGCGCGCGCCGCGGCCGTTCCTCGAGCCCCCTCGGCGCCCCCGCAGGCCCAGCGCCCATGGCTGCGGCCGCCGCGTCGCTCCCCGGGTCGCGCTCCGAGCACCACCACCCCCCGAGCGGCCCGGCGCTCATTGGCGCGCGGCCGCCTGACCGCGCTCATTGGCCCGCTCAGCGGCCGCGCTCATTGGCCCGCTCAGCGGCCGCGCTCATTGGCCCGCTCAGCGGCCGCGCTCATTGGCCCGAGCCGCCGGGGGGCGGGCACCTCTCCGCCCCGCCCCCCGGGCGCTCGCCTCGGAGCGGCTGTCCTGCGTGGGACTGTGCCCCACTTTCAAAGGAGCTTGGCTCCGCGGGTCCGAGGAGTCACAGGGAGGGGGCTGAACACGATCCAAACTTGGACGTGTCGCCAGACTGTAAAGGCTGGAATAAATCGCGGATTCTCTCTGCACCTTGCTGGACTTGGGGATGGTGCCTCGCCCCCTGGGGACTCAGTTTCCCAGTTTTCAAGGAGGCGACGGTGGGGTGGGGGAATCAGTTCCGCAGATCTCGAACATTCCCACAACGCAGGGGTTTTGTTTGTTTGTTTGTTTTGTGTGTGTTTGTTTGTTTGTTTGTTTGTTTTTTTCAATCAGTGCACCCTCACCTCTCCAAATTCTGCTGCAGGGAGATCTGCCGCTGGCCAAGCCGGCATCTTCATTTTAGGATTTGGGGAGCACCTGGGTGAGGAGAGTCCCAAGGAGTCAAACCTTCAGCCAGTACTTACTGTTTCCTTTTACTTTACAAACTGTGATTAAAACAATAGTAATGCGCTCGCTAAACAAACGACTAGTGAGTACACAGAAAAGTGAGTCTCCCACCCATTTCCCTGCGCAGAGGCCACCCTGAGACTGATTTTGCCTAAAGCATCTTCCAAAGCACTTCAATGAGCCTTTAAATCTAAGCCACACCGAGATGGGTGCTTTACATATATTGCTTAATTGAACTCAGACAATCTGTTGCCCTGTTTTACAGACGAGGAAGCCCAGGCCAAGAGAAATGGAGAGACCCTGAAGCTGCTGGCCCTGGGTGCGTTTGTTTCGAGGCCGGAGCATGCTCTTTTTACTCCATGACTTTCTTTCACTCCCTCTACATAAAATTCCAGACGAACTACTGGCCCTGCACTGTTCTCCATCCCTCCAGTTCCAGGAGACAAAACAAACCATCCATTCATACACTGCTAATATTTATTGAACACCTACTGTGTACCAAAACTCTTGTTGGCATTGGGGAGAACACAGTTAATGGAAGGCTATAGGACTTAAATAACTATGAGGGTAGAAATGGATGACTAGGTAGACAGAGAACAGGGAAATCTTGCTTCCACCCAGTCTCCCATTTTCAATTCAGTTGAGAAATTTAGATACATTTTGGCTTATGTAGAAAGTTGTTTCCTTTTTGTTTTTGATGTGTTTGGGAGATTGCATGAATTTGGGGTGAAGACCGGAGATATCCTTTGAAAGTACAGGATGTTCAGTTTGGGTACATTGTTGCTTGCATAGCTTTCAACATATATTTTTTAACCTGAAGTAGAAAAAGAAAAAGGTTCAGAGGACAAATAAAGCCGTTAAGGATTTGGTGCAGCTTTGGTGTATCAGAGCATGGAAATTATAGATACCTGAGCTTGAATGCTGATTATGTAACACATTTACTGCTTGCCCTAGGGCAAGTCAATCTGTGACTCAAGGTTCCTGGATGATAAAAATGGGGAAAATAGTAGTATAGTGAGTATAGTAATAGTGACAATTAAATAACATACGTAAAGCACTTAGAACAGGGGCCCATAGTAGGCACCATGCAATAGCTAATCTTCTTATCATAAAGTTATAATGGTTAATAAGGCAGGGACTTTTCACGAATCTACATCTGGCTCCTCCTCAGGGCTCCGCCCACCCGGGCCGTGCTGCAGCCTCTCTTCCTCTCGCTCCGCCTCTCGCGGAGGCCGCATGATGTATGCCGGGCCTTGTAGTCCGTTCGCGGAGTCCTGTCGCCGGGGGCCTCGCGGGTGAACTGCAATTCCCAGCGTCCCTCGCGGCGGCGGCCGTAAAGCGCGGCGGTCGAACGGCCGGTTCCGGCTGAATGTCAGTGCGGGGCTGTGGGCCGGGGAGGAAGGTGGTTGGCGGTCCCGCCACCACCACCTCCGCCGCTGCCTCTTCCACTTGTGCTGGCGCCGCGGGCACTCGGCCGCTCGGCTGGTCGAGCATGAGACCGTGAGGAGAGCGACGGGCCGGGGCCGCCGACATGTTTGGCCGCTCGCGGAGCTGGGTGGGCGGGGGCCACGGCAAGTCCTCCCGCAACATCCACTCCTTGGACCACCTCAAGTGAGTGTGCGGGGGGCGGGGGCGGGGGCGAGGCCGCGGGGCGGCTCCGGGGCGGGCCGGGGCTCGGGGCGGCGGGCGGCGCCGGGGTCCTGCGGTGGAGCGCGAGGACCCGTCCGGGCGCCGGGGGCGAACCCTGACCCCGCCGCTGCTGGCCGCGTGACCTTGGGCCAGTCTCGAGCCTCTGGAGTCGCACCCGTCAAGTGCCCGGGGAGGTCCGGTTCGCGGACGGGGGCCAGGAGCTTCGCGGGATGGGCTGGCTAGGCTGCACCCCCCGGGGTCCCAGGCCTGGACGTGGAGGGGCACGAGCTCAGCCTCAGTTTCCTCAGTCGTCCCGGAGTCAGCCCTTGCTTCCTGGGAGGGTTTTGAGGGCTGGTTGGGCGAGAGAAGGAACCAGAAGCCCAGGACACGCACAAGTGCCGGTCATTAAAGAACAAAGTGTCACCCGGCGGAGACCTGTCCCCGACGGCCCGCCGCAGAGCTGTGGGAGAAGCGGCAGTGCAGAGATCCGGAGCTGGCCCGGGTCAGACTGCGTCCCCTCCTGACCCCACCACTTAGTGGCTGTGTCACCTTATTATTTCACATCTCTGAGCATCCGGCCCCCATCAGCAAATGGGCCTGGTGTACGTCTGTCAGGATTCAGTGCTGTCATGCGTGGAAAGCCACGAAGCCAGGATTGACACCGAACATTAGCGTTTACCAGGAAGCAGGTGGCCAATGTCGGTGGCTGTGTGTTTAGCCCTCTAAGGTCTTCCCAGACCACCCCACCTAAAGTGCTCTCCCTACCACAGTTCCTTCCTGTTGGACCTTTGACCTGATGTCATTCCTTGCATTCCTGCTGTCTGCCATTATCCCATTTTTCTTTAACCTCTTTTCTGTCTCTCTATTAAACTGGAACTTGCAGGAGGGCAGAGACTGCTTAGTTTGTTCACAGTTGTGTATCTAGAAGTTAGCACTGCCCCCCCCCGCCCCCCCCCACACAGTAGGAGCTCAGTGGGTACTGACTGAAGAGTGAGCAAATCAGAGGCAGTGACTTCAGGAAGACAGGGTAGGGGTGCCCCGGGGAGGAGTAAGAAACAGGCTGTGTCCAGAGGGAGCACCCGAGGGAAGTAAGAAGGATGGGGTCCCGTGATGGCAGGGAACTAGAGGGAAGTTGGGGTCTGTGGCAGGGATTAGCCAGAGGGGAATTAGATGGGGGCTTTCCATTTGATCCTGGGGAAGGGAGAGAGTTATGATTTTCAGCTGTGACGTTTCTAGTATGGCACAGGCATTTAATGAATGTTTGTGGGTCCTGAAGAGTGGGGCACAGGATGATTTTAGAGGTGGTGGGGAGAGAAGCCAAGGAGAGGAAAGAGGTTCAAGACAGGGATGGGGGTTGGTCGGCAATCAGGAGTCTTTAATGGGAGGGCAGCTGGCAAGGAAAGGGAGCGGCTTGAGGATTTTAGGAATTTATCAAGTGGGTGGATGTGGCTGAGAAGGGGAATGTGTTTATCCCAGCTGTTGGGCCTCTTGCCAGCACCCAGGTACTGAAGACTCCCCTAACTCTGCCTGACTATAGCCCTTTTAAGTTACTTTAATATTTATTGAATGCTTTTATTCAGTGCCAGTTGCTTGCTAAGGACTTCCCATGTGATATTTCCTTCGGTCCTCACAAGTCTATGAGTTATAGGAATTTACTCTTTCCATTTTATAGAAGTGGAAACTAAGGTTCAAGGAGCTTAAGTCACATGCCACAAGGTGACAACAGCTGAAGACTGTGAAAGCCATGTTTGACTCTAGAGATTGCACTTGTTACACTGGCTTTGTGAATAAAACTTCTGGTTGTTAGTTTGGGGAAACTTGACTCAGCTGAGTCCCATCGCCAGCGAAGCATCTTTGCTGACCAGCCACCAAGCCTGGGAGCTCAGAGGGTCTCAGGTTCCTTTGCAGTATCCTGAGAACTGTCCAGGTGCATTGTTTAGGTCACTGGAAACCAGAGCTGTCTGCCCTGGATCAGCCTGATCTGTGTAATCCCTATTACAGCCTCAAGAACCTGGTGATATGTGATTGGTGTGGGGCTTAGAAGATCCCAAGGTGACTTGTGAAAAAGTGCCATAAACAACCAGTGCCCACCCCTGTGCTTGCTCTTGCTGTACTTCACTTGGCTCTGGTAATAAACATCTTGGGTACAGAATAGCTCATTCCCTGAGAGATTCTGCAGGCTGATGGGGAGGCAGCTGAGGAGCCAGTGACTGTTCAGTGTGTCAAGTGTTGGGATCAAAGGAGGCCCAGGGTTCTGTGGGATTCCTTCTTGGAAGCTTCTGGAGGAGGCACCGTTAGCGCGGAGTCCCTAAGGATGGCCAGGAGTCAGCATGTGGTGATGGAGGGGCACCATAAGCAGGACCTTGGGGTGTGTGGTCTGTCCAGATGGGAGGTGGTAGTTGTAAGGAAACAAGGCTAAAGGTAGAAAGGGACTAGGGCTTTATCTGACACCTAACTTTCCTGATTGTTGGGTAACCTAGAACTGAAGGGTTTCCCAGAGCTTGGGAATTTCATTGCTGAAATTGGGAAAGTTCTGGACAAATGATACATATTGGTCACCCTACCAGTGCAGTTCCCAATGCACTCTTGCCTCAGGGCAAGAGTGTCAGCGTACATCATTATGGAGAGGAGTGGTGAAGACATTTAACATAATTTAGAATTGATTTGTTTGGTTGTTGTGGTGTTTGGCACACAAATCATCTGGAAACCAC